TTATACGTATCGACGATTTCTAATGATTTCGTAAATCACCTGATTTCTTTATGATTTCTATTGATTTCCAATGATTTCCAGAAATCTTGAGAAATCACTAACGAAAATGGAAATCACTTGATTTCCAGTCATTTCCATTGATTTCTGGTGATTTCTTCCTTGATTTCTAGTCGAATGGTCCAGTGATTTCCTAAGTGACTAGCCCCTCGGTCTTAAGAACATTGCATCTTCTTACAATTCTAATGAAAAATTGAATTATTTGAAACGTGTTGTAGTCATTTTGAGGTTGTAGAAGGTGTTGTGACGATGTTTTTGGTATGTTCACAGTGTAGTTTGAAAATGAAACGGAGAGAATGCTTAAACGATTGAAAATTCAATGCAATATTATTTGTAATTTTCAATGTCAGTTAATGGTTGCAAAGTATATTTATTAATTAATGGTAATAGCGTGCTTCTATGAATTGAGGGAAACTGGGTTGTTGGATTGGCGGAAGCATTATAATTGTATGTAAAATGTGAGTTATCGAATTGAAAATTACGAATTAAATGTTATGTATGAATTCTGAGTTACTTTTTTCTTTTTGGCACTTGACAAGGCTTCAGAAAAGGACGAGATTTAAATGAAATTTCTCTACAATTTGTCGGTGGTTATTTTGTCGCGGAAATTTTGTCCGTGAATCATAAGTTACAGAACCTAAAGTAAAAGTATAAAATTCCTGCTTTGAGTTGTTAAATGCAATTTTAATCCAAGAATATTGGATTCACTTAAGTTCAAATTGGAATCCAATTTCATTCCAATTCAAATGCCTATTCCATTACCGATATTTGCATTGATAGTCTACTGTAATGATAAATTATACCATCTATCTTTACACAGAGGGCAGTTTGTACAACAACAAAAGTCTGGAATTTCGGCATATAAATATGAGCCAGCAGTATTCAGACATCAGAGTAACATTCGCAAGCCATTAGAACTTGTTCTGAGTGAAGTCCCAGAGCAATAAAAAACTACATTATGAAAGTTGCTGTAATCTTATTTGTACTTGCTACCTGTCAAGCAATATCGGCATTCCCAACCCAGAGTAAAAATTTTATCCTTTCACATTTCATTTGTACTCAACTAAAAATACTATATCGGGTTTTTCATGTGATTCGAATTTGAAAAATCGGTTTTCAATTTGAGGGCAAATTCAATTGACGAATGCATCTAGGTCTTATTATCTAGGGCTTCACAGTGAGATATTCGAAGCCAATAATGTATAATTTTCCGCTACATTAATCGGAATTCATTACACCCAAACAAAATTACTTTTGATCAGTAGAAAAAGTATTTGTACCCAGTACCAAGGGGTTTTTGGGGAAAAGGCCCATTTGTGTACTTCCTCGAAGTTCCAAAACAACTTGATGCAAGTATCATGCGTCAAGTACCTGTGTACTGGTGAGAAGTACCTCAGTACTTGTCAAAAGTATTTTGTTACTTGGGACAAATAACAAAATTACTTGTACTGAGTACCTGGCTGTTTTTTTTTTAAAGTACCAAATATATTCAATATGAGTTGAGTATAAGACCTCAAAAATGATGTTCTACCTCTTCTAAAAACCGAATTTCGTCAAAAATTCCAAAATCAAAATAATTCTCGTTTTGTGAGTAATAATGTTGACAACAACATAAAACATAAAAATCTCAACAAAATTTAAATTTTGTAGGTTGGGGAGCATACCAATAATTCTCGAAAACTATATTCACTTTTATTCACTAATATTCACTTTTGTCAATAAAGTAATCAATTGGAAGTACTGAAATTAAGTCCTAAAAGTACTTGAGAGAAGTTGAAAAATTACTTTACACCAGTACCTTTGGCGCTTGTGAAAAGTACTAAACGTACCGACAGTAAGTATTTCTGCTTGATCGGCAGACGTGGTACTTCACCCAAGGACACAAAATGTACTTGGGACGAGTATTTTTAGAACGGTTTGTACTGGTAAAAAGTAATTTTTTTTTCGGTGTACGACATCCAAAAATTGCAAGAAAAGTTTCTCACAAATATCTCCCTAAAGAATTCCTCATAAATATTGAATGAAAATCTAGGAACTAGGTAAACATTAAGAAATTTGAAAAGGCTTGGCAGAAAATTTTAGTGGAAAACTTTCAAGAGTTTTTAGTGTTTACAGCTGTCTTCTTTTTGTCACGCAGATCCAATCTGTCTGCTTCCACTGAATGAGGTCTGTTTTAAGCTGACCGACCTGATATGGTATTTCGATTCCGTCAGAAGAGTATGCGTCACAGATGAAGGCTGTATACGACCTGGTCAAAACAGCTTCGAAACGAAAGCAGAGTGTGAGCAAACATGTCTACCTAACAAATCTGCAATTTGTGACAAATTGCAGTCTAGGATTCATTTTCCCGATGAACTGGACACTCTATACCAACAGCTTCGTGACAACGGTTGCATATGGAAGATGACCGAGTAATGGATCATTGTTACGATTAATTGATTAAGTGAAGTGAAATTATGGGGAGTATGCCCTAAAATTCTTCTCCTGGGATCTATGATGCATAAACAAATAATAAATTATTTGCAAGCATACATCAACAATTACTGTTTATCCACTATTCATATACTTTTTACACAACTAACGCCGTGAGGTTGATGCCCTTTCATTATGTCCTTTTTCCTGGCAGATTCGATATTCCCCTTTTCAATTCATTGTTTATAGTTATTCTCATTGCAAAAATCGCTCATTATTTGCAGTACATTCCGTTGAGATTCTCCTACTTTTAATGTGAAAGATGTGAGACAATCTCATAATTCTATCTATTGATTCCAATTATCTAATGATACAAATCGATTCAGGGTGATCAAACGAAAAATATACAAACCCGATTCGAGATCATATTCAAATATTGTTATATTATATTATCGTGAATATAGGAGAGAGTAGGGCAAAACGGACCAGGCGGCCAAAACGGACCCCTAGGGCAAAACGGACCACTGACAGAAAATTAATAATTTTTGTTTTTGCTTCCGAATGGAGCAAATTCGAAGTCATTCGTGGTTTAAGGTGAATAGTAAATCTGATCAAATTGCGGTTCAATGACACTTGTTATCTATAAAACTCCTGTGACGGTTACGATTCAAGAAACTCACTTTTAATTCAACGCATTCAGTGTTCCTGATTTGAAGGAAAGAAAAAAAACAAAAATTATCAATTTCCTGTCAGTGGTTCGTTTTGCCCTAGGGGTCCGTTTTATCCTGCGGTCCGTTTCGCCCTACCCTCCCCTATGAACGCGATTTGACTCCATTGCTATTCATCATTTAGGAATACACACATATTCCTCATTCAAGAATAAAACATTCCTGATCCGAGTATACATTTTTTCCGTGATAGAGGAAGAAATAAGGACGATTCAACAATAAACAATGACGAGGCTGAGAAAATGTCAGACGGTGCAGAATTATGCTTCTTGTCTTTCATACCAGAAAAAAGGTGAGTACGGGATAAAAACTGATATTTGTGCATGACCTACAACATCTTCATTACGCATTGAGCCATGTCAGTCTCTCATGCGCCTCCTCCTTTCGTTGCGTTTCTCTTTGTTCATCTTTTTATTTCTGTTTCAAGCATAAAACCTTTGAGGAGCGTTACAATCTCCTTTTTTCCACTCTTGAGAACCTTTTTATTGGGAGATGTACTCTGCATCCTCTTGAGTTGAGAAAAGAGAGCAACTGTGTTTGATACTGAATATATGAAGCCGGAGAAGTAACACGTAATTTTCGAAGACAAGTGGGGAAAGGTCTGTTCCAGTGGGGCTTCCGAGAAACAATGGTGGAGAAGGCTGTGGTCGTCAAGTAATTATTTAACAAGTACGAATTCATATTTTATGAGGGGCCGGGGGGTCATTCAGTGTAGGGCTTCATTCATTGTCAGCGATGAGGTTTTTCTCTTTATTTTGTTGGTCATGATGTACTAATTTGTTGGCTTGAATTCGGGATGGGGTAGAACTGTCGGAGAACGAGGGGGAAATGCAGTAAAAATCACCATGATATGGATGGTAAACGTGCTGCGTAATATGTTTTCGAAAAGTTTTTAATCCGGAAACGAGTTCATAATATAGTACAAAAGATGGATTTTTTTCTTTTATTCCGGAAACATAACCGCACTGTCCACTGTTAACAATTTTCGTATGAATTTTCCGTGCCAAATTCCGGAAATTTTTATCGTATTCAAGTTCCACTGAAATTTCAGGAAGTCTTGTCATTGAAAAATTGAATATTTCATTGATTTTTTGCTCAAATGATCTGCAAATCAATAAAATATTGGATTTTTCAGTTCAATTATTCTGTGAAAATTCAGAAAAAAAGGAAAATTCAGGAAAAAATTGGAAATTTATGTTATTTTGTTTCTGAATATTCATTTTTCACTAAAAATTCAATCAAGTTGTAAAATTTCCATCTCACTCTCGCTGAAAACTGATTAATTTCCGTGAATTCTACTTAAAACTTGAAATTTCATAAACACTTTTTCCCTAAATTCAATTCAATGTATGTCACTCTCATGAGCTTTAATATAATATCTTCCATGAAATTTCAAAAAATTTCTAAGTATATGCGTCTTGAAAAATTTGGTACTCGAAATTAAGACTTAACAATTGAGGGTCACAAGGGTCAGATGTAATTCTATTGGCTGAAATTCTAACGGGGAAAATAACCAGTGAAATCGCAAATTTAAAGATCTTTTTCCGTCCAAAATGGAATCAAATTCCATTCTCCTGAAAATCCCTAGTCAAACGGTCACGAAATTTCAATTTCTTTCTAGTAGTACTGCTCTTTTACTGATTCACCTTGAGATATTTAACACTCAGTGATTCCAATGAGATTGCTATATAAATATAATATATAAATTTATTACATTGGTATGTGAATGGTCTCCTGTTAAGTAACCAAATACTGCCGACTAAAAACTCAACTTAAAATGCTCAATCAATGCTCATTACTCACCACAGTAATCGTTCAGTGTCTCCCAGATGTCCTCCAGCAAATTGTAATTCTCCTCACTCTCGACATTGTACAGCAACTTCTCTCTGGAGACAAGAGAAAAGGGTGATTTTAAAACAAGCCGAAGGTAATAGATCACACGTGAAGTTTGTACAGGAATCACGAAGTGTGCACCTAAATTACAATCTGCTGCCACTGGAAGGGGTGGGAGGTCTGATCTCTGGTGGGACATGACCTGCAGTCACCGTGGCACGCTCTTTCCCGATATTGATATGTCCCGAGAGAAGAGAAATGAGGTGGAAGAAAGGATAGAACTACAAATCCCATCATCGAATAGTGTTGATACCATAGATAGGAGACACGAGACAGATGGAGATGGAAAAAATTTGATTGGGTGGGGGTAGTTGTATTGCATGTGAGACCTCGACAGATTAGATCAGCTGAGAATGTGTGAAAAAAAATTAAATGTCAAAAAAATTAACGACCTAGATTCGAACAAGGAAAAAAAATCCTCGAATGTGGTATATAATATCCTTGATTCCGGAATAATATTCTGTAATCCTAAATATGTCATTCTTGATTCCAAAATAATATTCCGGAATCTGGGATATTTTATCCTCAATTCCAGAATAATATTCCTGAGATTTCCTTCCATTGAAATATTGTACGTTGCATCTATAAGAGATGTCATGTGCTGACGACGCGTCGTCCGAATTTAAGTGAGATTGGGCAATAATCACGAGGAGCACTCGGGGAAGTATTTTCATACGTTCTTTCTCTGCGGATTCAGCCTTTCGGCTGGCAATTGGGGGCTCTGGTGATTATTAGTGGGTTTCAAGGGACAATTGGTCGTATTTTGGGACATTCTTTCGGAATTTTTGAATTATCATTTGCTTCAGCAACCTCTTGAACAGTCTGAAGTTACTGGGAGGCCATTGAGCTCCTCACTCTGAGGACTGCTCCGAGTCACTACACGAGTTGGAGGTTTGGGAGACCCCAAACTTGCATTTCGTCACAATATAATTGTGTCACTTTTTTCTTTTTCCTCTTCTCTTTGAGTCAAAAATTTAACATATACTATCACCCACACTGTTAGAAAATTGCTTTTGCAATTACAAATAAATAAACATGATATTTTCAAGAACACTAAATTTACATGAAATTTATCTCTATTTTGGTACTGAAAAATCAGGTAAATTCTTTGCATATTCGATGAAATTGTACTTTCCTGGTCTGTACGACAACGAAAATGATTGAAAATAATCGAAATTCAGGCCATTATTTTCCGGAATTCTCAATTTATTGAAAATTCAATTGAATTTAGTGTTCAATTTTCAGAATGAAGCCTAAAATTCAAACAGTCCTTGCTTGAATGAAGGGGGGAGAATGAATTCATCCTACTATCGATTGAGAATCCATTTGAAAAGCGTATGTAAAGGATTCCGGAATATTATTCCGGAATTAAGGATGAAATATCTCGGATTCCGAAATACCCATATTCCTGATGCCGAAACATTATATACCCCATTCGAGGATATTTTTTTCCGTGTTAAACAGGAAGCAAAAATTATTATGAAAAAAATTTAGCTTGTGCTTTCATATTATAAGTACACTCTTCGCAAAAAAAGACATAAGGGGAGGAGAAATTTAAAGAAGTCTTATCGTAAGAGTTGAATAAAAATTAAATTCAGAGAATTTTTTAAATTTTGTAATTGGAAATCCGAGAAAGCATCAAGGAGAGACAAACAAATGTTCAATTAATTTCCAAACGAATTCGCTCGCAAAAGCCCTAGGTTTTTCCCTTTGTCACATATGGGGGCGTCAAGTAATTCATTGGATGGATCTAATTCTCAATTAACAATAATCCTCATACCATCGAATAAGCTTGTTCCCCCTCCATGCAAAAGTGCACAAAAATTGCTCTCCTAATGGACTCATTCCCCCAATTCAACACGCGCACCCCAGAATTGGTTCTATTACCCTCAAATACTGTGTAATTTCCCCACTAAATCAAAACTCATAACTCGTGCCAAGAGTTTCGAGACGATAAACTCGTTCCATATTACAGCATTTAGTATTTTAGTGGACCCATGTGGAATTGCGCATCTACTATTGACACGAGTGAATTGAAGGATTTGGGGTTAAAATAGAAGAGTCGAAACTTTATATAGGATACTTCTCTACACTGAGAAAACAATTACTTTTGCCAAGTGAATTGACTAACTACAAGAAAATCCACATAGTTCAAATGCAAATATTTGTGTACATTCACTTGTGGCAAGTTAATTTGCTTGGCAGGAGTAATTTTTTTTCTCAGTGTATATGATAGCTCTAGCTCCAACCGCTTGACGCCTGAGAGAAAAACGATAAAGTTCTCAAACAAGTCTTACTTGTGCCAAGAAAATAGTTTTTTGAAAATTATCAAAAAAGGATTTTTTGTGCCAAACATGCAGATAGTGCGCCAGAGTGAAAAATTTTTGTCGCAAAAATAGATGTAGTAGTTAAAAAAAAATTGCATTCTCTGTACACGCAAGAAATGTCATTTCTAGCACTAGGGGACTGTGTGCCTGTACCGCGCAACCATCAACTTAAAAATTTCTTTCTGTTCCTGATCATGAAGAATTTGATGATGAGATGTGATTGTCGGAAAATTTTCACTTTATTTACCACGTTAAATATGAAAAAACACGTAAGGAAGTTTTGAGGTTTTTACAGTGCAAAATTTGTGGACTTTTAATTAAGGTTTTTGGTAGTTTCAAACGCTGAATTCTCATATTAACCTGTGGTTATTCGATTCGTGGTACTTTCACGCGTAATTTGAGACCAATTCGAACTTAAAACTTCACTCATGTCAATAATCATCAACAATTTTGTTGACGCCGAGCGGAGCCGGTAATACCGCTCATAGGATCGGCCACGTAGTTGCTCGACAGCACTCAAGTACAAGTTAGGTTGTGGCGCGAGCGATACACGCAAAACCCTATGAGCGGCATTGGAATCGTGCCGAGCGGTATTACCCGACAGCGGGTAGTACCGCTCAATAGGCTGTCTCTTTCATTTTCAATCAATTTGGTGGATTCTAAGGAGAATTAGGCGTCTACACTTCGAGAATACCGAGTTCAATAGTTGAAGAAGTCTCACAAATACGTTTTTTATACTCAAGTTGAAATATAAAATATAAAACTGGGATTTCCCCTTAGGTGGGCGGTACAGGCACACCCTCCCCTACTCTTTCGTTATTCGATACTCCCATACAAATTTTGCTCCCAAAAAATTTTTGTTTTATGCGAATTAAGGAACAGTAGTTTTTCGTTTCGGCTATCTAATTATCACAGACAAGAAATGAACTCTTAAATGAAACAATAATAATAATATGATAGCAATCTTGTGACATAGAGATAAAATATTTGTTGATAAATTTTCCTCCATATGAGATATTTTCATCCTGAAAAGGCACCATCTGGTGAGAATTATCTGTCTCTTGAGCCAAATATTTCGTAGCTGTCGAAGGCAGAACAATTATTCATGTTTGAGACTTTTTAATTTAAACCAAACAAATTCTTTTTTGGCAATTTTCAACTAGCAATTTTGTTGGCCCAAACAAGACTTGTTTGACAACGTGTTTGTTTTTTTCACAGTGTATTTCCACTTTTATCGTTTTCCAAAGGTTTAGTTCTGAGAATTTCTTATTAGATACCTAGGCACTCAAAAAACGATTGATGATTGGTGTTAGAGTGTGGTCTGGGAATTTTTTAACGGGAAAAGAATGATTATAAAAGGCAAGTAGGACGTGTTCCCTTTCAGAATGAAATATTTATCAATTTTCTCAAAAATTTCCTAATTAGTCAAAATTACTATTTAAATTGTTCAATTGATAACAATTTCATAGGTCTGTTGAATCAAATTGTGAATTTCATACGAATTTGTAAGTCTTGAATATTTCCTGAGGTTTTAACTCTTGATTGGTCACTCCATGGGGGAAACCACGCCGCGCGTCGTTTTTCTGTAATTAAAATCGACTGGCTAACCGGAAAACTTTTGAAAAAGTTTGACTTTGTCAATTGAAGTATCTAAAAAATTATAGTGGTTTTGAGAATAATATATTTCCCAAAATTCCTAAAGAAAACAAATTATTTCGAACAGATGAAGTATTTTTTCCGATGTTGATCCCTCACGGACGGGGCCATTTTGTTTCCGAGCGTAAAGTACGCTCGATACAAGTGAAATGTAATGGCTTCTAATCAACGGAAAACTATGAAACCGATATGTAATTGAAGATACAGTATTCCTTTTTTCGTTGTTATTTATTTGGTTAAGTTCCATAGTTTTGGAAATAATTAATTTTAAAGAACGTCATTCATATTTTCATGGGTCGATGTATGGCATCGACCCCGTACGTGGGGGGTTAAATGAAATTGCCCATGACGTTATGTTGCCGGAAACTCGCTAAACGCGCTCGAGCAGTGTAGAGTGAATTCGGCAACGCTAAAGCCTAAATAACGCGGCGGCGAATCCCCGCGGAGGTGACCAAGTCGCAGGGTCGCGTTTGGTGACCAGACTAGGCCTAAGGTTAAATCCGTGACTGACTGTAGCTTCGTTCAGTTTCTCACTCCGAAACTATACAGGGTGTCCCAAAATGAAATGTCATCCTCGTGAGAGTAGTTCACGGGGCTCATTTGAAGACGAAAACTTTAATAGTATTTTTCTCTTTGACGCTTTATTTTTAGGGGTTCATACTAGCTGAGGCGACGGCGTGAACCCGGGATAACACTAAAGCTAATGAAGATCGTAGTCTTCACCGGCGCTCAAATATTAAATTCCTATAAAAGTAAGCGATAAAAAATAGTTTAGCGATTAATAAACTCAATTTAAGTAATAAATTATGTTCGTTAAATTACACTCATTCTAGTGGCTGTAGTGGTCACGCGGGGAGTGTGTGGCTCCGGCGGTCATCCAAGCTAAGCAGCGTTCAGTCTGCCCAGTACTTGGATGGGTATCGGAGAACTACTGTGCCCATTGAGTCAGTGTGACCAATGGACACAGTGGAATCCCTGCATTATTGGCCGGCTGTACGACTGGGGTTTTCCATGGTTTCCCTGACAGTCCAATCCCGAATGGGGTGCAGTTGGGGATAAAGTAAGTCGGCCCATGGTAACGCAGATAGGGAAGGGAACAAAATATAAAAACCCGAGAGGGTATACAAAAAGAACCAAAAAAAAAAAAATACACTCATTCTAAAATTGCTGTTAGAAGGACAGCGGAGTCGATGAACATGCAATGAATACTTCTAGTGATTATAAGGCATAGAAATTAATGAGAATTACATTTAAATACACGAACTCATAAGTGTTACCCTATTGGACTTATCAGTATTAGGTAAGTCTTAAACACGAAAAAAATTATTTGGGGAATTGCAACAACTAGTTTGTGAAATTTAACAACTAATTAATTAAAATTCAGAAAAGATTTTTCAATTCCATTCAATCAATTTTGACTATCAAACTAGATGGTGAGGGCATACATACATTTGGAAATAATCCCGCAATTATTTATATCTTGATCGATCAATGTCTCCCCTAGAAGATATTTTCACAATAATACAATACCTTGTCAAATCTGATCCATCAAATAAATCGCGGAACGTTTATTGAAAATTTAACAAATGGTTGTTGAATGAAATTGAAAAATCTTTTTCTGAATTTTAATTAAATAATTGTTAAATTTCACCAACTAGTTCAACTAGTTGGTGAAATTCACCAAATAATTTTCTCCGGGAACTTCTACACGAGAATCCACTTCATCAGAAAAATATTTGAGATAGTGGATAAAAATTATGGGTCCAATGGACCCATATGTGTAAGTAAAGGGGGCCAAAAGTAAATGTGCTGTTTGAGGCTTAAGCACATATAAATTGATTATTTATTGACATCCATTGCGCAAAAATCGAAATTCGGTTGAATTAGGGCGCAACGGAAGAGGTATCCCATATAAAATTGCGAGTCCCTACTTTCTTCCTATCTACAGTCGCGCCTGATGGGGGCGTACAAATTCCCGGAATTCCACTCTCCTACTGTCCCTAAGGTATCTTATATAAAGCTTCGACTGCAGTACAATGGTCGGCATGAAAGATGAAGAGGACCAAGCTTAAGCATAAAAAACGTAAAAACTAATATATACTCACAGTGATGCCAATTCTGGTAGTGGCAAGTCGCTCTCGCTGAGAAGACTGCTCAGGGCAACGGCCATTACTTCGTTCTGTAACGAGAACAATGGATGAAGCCTATAGATTATCCAGAGAGATGGGGGAGATAGCAGAAGAGTAACTGTGCCCTACTCCATTCTCTGCCCTAGAATTTTCTTTTTCTTTCTTTTTGGAATTCTAGATGACTTATGACTCTTTATCCTATCATCTTCTTGGAACAAATCCCACCTTCCAAATTGGTAAAGACCGAGCTTTATCCCTACTCGGGGCAAGAGAGGGCATGCTTTCCGTTCGCTTCAGAGCAAATGTCACTTTACATCTTAAGCTTCAACTCAAAATTGGTTTAAATTGTTTCAAGTTTTCTCTGACCATTTAAGCTATTGTTATTGAAGTGAAATGGGAATTATTATTTTCAGAATTAACAAAATGAAAGAAACAAGATATACACTGAGAGATAAGTTTCCTAATATGTAGACCCTATTTGTTTGAGAGAAGTTAATTATTTTCCATCGCTTACATCTTAGAATGTTTGCGCTTCACGGAACTCGAATGAATTCTCATTTACCACTATTATTACGCGTTATATCCTGAATATATGGCATATAAGGGAAAAAAATATTCTTGAATTGAGTATATTTTACATTTTATACCAGAATTGGTATAAACTGATTCAAGAATAAAATATCTTTGATTTAAGTATATTTTATACTCGATTGGGGGACGGGTTTTTCAATTCAACGATGATTATTTTGTATTAGACTAAGTTGTACCAAGCGCTCTCAAGTGTAATATAAGGGTCAGACTCGATTTGTTTTTCAAGTTATTTCCAATAGTTTTCTTCAATATATAAACAATACGGAACTGAATTCAATGCACGGAGAGAAATATTCTGTAAAAATGACAGAACAATTACGTAATCCGCAATGGGGTATCGTTTTCCGGCAATTTTTATAGGAATGTAGGGGAAGAAATCTGAAACGTTCAGTGAATTTTCAGGTTCATCATCGAACAAAGTACGAAATTGTCACGTAATTTTTCCCAAGAAAGTGAAATTTTACAGAAACTTCCCGACTTATTATGCCCCCAAAAATCAAAAATTCTTTAACGTTCAACAATTTTTATGAAGCCGGTGAGTTATTTCTACCTTCCATTCCGTAAAATTTCTCAATCGTTGGGGAAAAATTACGAAACGACTTGTTGTTCCCACAGCGGTGAGTCATCAGACGGGTGGTTAATTTTTACGGAACAAATCGTAGAATTTACGCGGCGATTCGTACAATTTAGTTCCGACTTACACTTTTATTGAATTTTATTTCACTCGCAGATTACGTTTTGAAACGTAATTTTTACGTTTTATTTGGTCATTTTTATTGAACTTTTCTCTCTGTGTGTCAGACGCATATTTAAACCTCTCGTTTATCGAGCTAATTTTTATCTAAAATTCTGAAATTTCTACCAAACATACTCTATACAGTCCTTTGTCGGTTGGCGTAAATGAAATTTCGATTCAATGGATTGCTGATTTGTTATTAACAAATTTCCCACAATCGATCTTGACAACCACATGGAGAGAAATATTCAACAAAAATAACGTATGTTTTCCTTAATTCCGGAGTGAAATGTGGTTGTAGGAAATTTTGCGGAACTGTCACGGAATTGTTCCAGAGCGTTTCGTAATTGTTATCTGAATCTCCTGTAAAAAATTACGATACCGTCACTTAAATTTTCTGAGTAGATTCTACAATCGGTGAGCGAATTGTGAGTTCCGTAATTTTTACTGAACATTTCTCTCCGTGCATTTGTACTATCGAACTGAGATTATTCTTAAAATTTCGACAAACATCTGTATAGACAAATATCGTAATTTAACAACTTAATGAAAGTTCAAGATTATCATTAAATTTTAGATGATAATTTTTTGATCATCATTGTAGAAATTGCCGCGAGTTGAACAGCAAATTCGAATAGACGGGAGGTCGCCGGCCGATGAGGACACACCGCGCGCTATGGGCGCGGTAGGTGAGGGGTTCACCTACCAGAGAACCCTCAAATAAATCCACTAATAATCCAACAAGTGCCAAATATCCCTGCATCTCGAGCTCCCTCCCGTTAAATGACCCTTTCAAAAGTTTTCTCATTCTTTATCTCTCGGCGTTAACGTAGAAATCCCCCAGGCAAGAAGAGATGAGACTCATTAAATTCATGACATCCATCTAGATTTACCTCGTAACCCAAAAAAATTTCATTAATGAACTGGAGCAGGTTTTCTTTTCATCCGCGAAGACAAAAAACACCCTGGAATTATCATTTTTAATGACATACTGTGCAAACGAAACTTAATGAACTTTTGTGTTAGTACAGTGTTTCGTTATACACCTTAATATCCCGAGAGAAATGTGAAAATTAGTTAGTCCAGTGTAAATGTGAGCATTATGCTGAAAACAAGAAGGTACAACTGGTTTCAACCCACTCGAATTGCGCTTGTTTACTCAGTGGAATGAGACGCAGGACTAATTGCCATTGAAACAGAGTACGTCTCAAATGAGTTTTTCAGTCCTAAAGAATTTATGGAGGGAATCATGATGGGAGAAAGAGTGCAATTTAAAATGGAAGCGAATGGGGTGAATAGGTCGAGGGGTGATATCTCGGGTATATCGGGTATATGTGAGGATTTGTGGATATTGAAAGGGGCGAGAGGACGGACGGGGAGAGATAAATGAAGAACGAAATACACCGGGTACATTCGTATTTTGTTTAGTTGGGGCATAACAGCGTTATAAATCACTGGAGATTGTCCATACTAGCGAGATGAGCTGGGCAACCACAACGGCTCGGTAATCATGCGCGTAATTTAATTGTCGCCCTGTTGGCACACTGCAGCTATAAAACAGAAGCTCTTATATTATGAGGGATTTTTGTTTTATCCTCGCTGGTCGCTGCGCTACTCGCTGGCAGTTATTTCGACAGTAAAAAATGACAGTCACCCGGTTATAATCGGCTCGAGCGGGGTAATACTGCTGGGATAACTGTCGATGAATTCGCTGCTTATTACTGCCCATGTTTTTACGGACAGTTTTTTATCGGGTGATGGATTGCGAATTGCGACTGTTAGTCAATTTGCGATTGTTTCATGTGAAGTAACGGATTTTAGAGAATGGTGTGGGGGGGGGGGGTTATGGGATTGTGGGAATTCAGGGGTTCAATTTAACATAGGAAACAGTTGCCAGTTTGCAGAAGAAATCTCTAGATTTCAGGACATGCACACGGAGAGAAATATTCAGGAAAAACTACGGAACAATTCACGTATTCTGCAATGGAGAATCGTTTTCCGGCAATTTTTATAGGAATGGAAGAGAAAAAATCTGAAACGTTCAGTGAATTTTCAGCTTTATCGCCAAATAAAGTACGAAATTGCTACGTAATTTTTCCCGAAAGAGTAAAATCTTACAGAAACTTCCCGACTTATTATGCCTCCAAAATCAAAAATTCTTGAAAGTTCCAAAATTTTTATGAAGCTGGTGAGTTATTTCTACGTTCCGTTCCGTAAAATTTCTCAATCGTTGGGGACAAATTACGGAACGACTTGTACCCACAGCGGTGACTCATCAGACGGGTGGTTAATTTTTACGGAACAAATCGTAGAATTTACGTGTCGATTCGTACAATTTTAGTTCCGACTCACTTTTTATCGAATTTTACTTCGTTCGCGGATTACACTTCGAAAGGTAATTTTGACGTTTTTTTTCTGGTAATTTTTATTGAATTTTTCTCTCCGTGTACTGAGAGAAATATTGGCATAATATCATAGACTAATTTCTTGTGTGAACTATCTCATCTTTTAAGGATGAAACACTTGGGATAAGAAGATTTCGCCGTCTCGTCCTCCAGATCAAAGAATGTAGTAACGTCGGTACTATGTGGTCCATCACAGAATATCCCCAAAATATAAAATCAAAATACCCCAGAATCCCTAGGTTACCGGCCGAACGCCTCCATCATGTCATTACGTTTTTCTGTGCGGTCCAACACAGTCGTTTTTGTCCCACACAGTAATAATTATTAACGTTTTATTCTTTCCCCTAAAATGTTTTTATATTAGTTTATTTCATTTCTTTCTTCTTATATTTATAATGCCTTCACCTGTAAAAAGGAGGCATTCATCATCTCCAAGCGACAATGAACGAACTCCTCAAAAGACTGAAGCGTCTAGAGAGAGGTTAGGGCCACACGTGCCAAGTCCACATCGAAGGAGAATCAGAGGCCAGATACGGGCAAAGTGTATCGCTCTGATAAATCCAGGAAAAGGAAAAGATCTCCTCGCCCTCGCTATTCTCGAAAGTCGAGATACGAGGAGCACTACTCATCGTCAAATGAAGGTCAGAGCTCTGTCTCGAGTGAATCAAGTGTTTTCCCGAGCCCTCCAAGACGCCATAGACAGCGTTACTCACACAGAGAGACCTCCTCGGAGTCAGATCCCATCGAGGATGACCTGAGGGGAGATTTTACAGGGCCAGGTAAGCCTGGTGATGCAAATAAACCTGATGAAACAGCTAAGGCTGCTAGCACAGGTAAATCTGATGATAAAGCTCCAGAGGATGGTAAGAAGACAGATGAATCGTCAACACAACTACCTCAGATGGCTCTAGAATTTTTGGGGGAGGTTACTTCAAGGGATGGCCCTAAGGGTCCACTAATTCACTCTGCTGTGGCTGAGAGGTGGAAAAAGATCTTAGCTAAGGGGATGGAGAAGGAGTTACGTAAAGATCTGATTAAAAAATACCCTCCAGTGGAAAACTGCGCGGGCATGAAGGCTCCATTGTTGAACCCGGAGGATAAAGCAGCACTGAAATCAGCAGCTCTTCGCAGAGACTACTCAAGCACAGTGACTCAAAACCAACTGGGTGCTGCCCTCGCAGCTATTGGTAAAGCCTTAACCTTGACATTTAAAGCCAAAGAAGATGATCCCGATGGGGAATGGTCTGATGATTTCAAGGGGCTCATTACGTGTCTCAGCGATTCGGGAAAAATTCTAACCGATCTGCAGTATTATCTA